GACCGTTCATTCTCGCGTTCTTGGGCAGCACGCAAACAGTTGAGCGCTGATTTGATTTATTTCATTGTTCGCATTTCATACTGCTACAGATAAAGTCGGAGGATTTGGACCTGTGTATGGAAATCAAACCGCCTCGACTCGGTTCACCTGTGTCCGTAGCTCCCTGTCATGGCAATGGTGCTGGGCAGGTCTTTGCCATCACTGGTCGCGGTGAGATTACTTCCTCGACTGGCTGTCTCCAGGCTCAACGTCGCAAAGAAGTCCTTTATAGTAAGGAATGCACCGGTGCTGGAGGCATTCAGGAATTTCGATATGATAGTGAGGTAAACAATTCCCCTGTTAATACTAAGGCAACTCTTATTTTGTAAAACCGCCACGGCAAATCACTCCTTTTCGAACACAATTCCTTTAACTTTTTCACATTGATCCGGCACCCTTCTTATTCAGTCCTATTTTAGTTTTTCATGTAAGCACGGCCACACCCGTTTTTGACTGTTTTTTACCCGACTTCTTTTCCATTGGTTTAGAGTAACCGCCTCCGCCATGTCAAAAGCCAGCTCTGTATCCGGTTTTCTGCTCTCGGTCAAGATCAACAGGTCTTCCTCGGTGAGTTCTCTTTGCACTGCTACCTGGTTTTGGGGATTTAGTTCTGAAGTAGACGCTGCTTTTCTAGCTACTAATATGTCTTGCGGCCATTTCTTTGCTTAGAAGCACTAGTTTCTCTGTTGTTGTTGTTGCTAGTGCTGTGACTATTAGAAGGTTTTGGCGGATTTGCTTAATTTGGTTGACCCAATTGTGGGAAAAAAAACTCGTGGCGTCGGCGGGAGTCGAACCCGCACAGCAGGGAAGGCTTTTGCGCAGCCAACGCTCTACCGATTGAGCTACGATGCTGTGATTGTCTTTTATTATCTTACTGATGGGGCCGAAGTTAGCATTGCGTCCTTTTAATGCACCTTTTACTAACAGCACTCCGAACAATTTTAGTGTTCTTAGAATAAGGCAAAGATCACGAGATTAGCAGGATTTATTGACGTCATAAAATGTAGTGACCTCTTATTCAACTGCAGACGGCCGTTGCCTATTAATATCAGTAAATTCTGCTAATATCGTGACCTTTGCCTCGTTTACATTTCTTCGGGGAAAACAATGTTCTTAGAATAGTAATTTTAGAGTCTTTGATCGCAAGAACAGTCTGCGTCGCCAATTGTCGTAATGTTGCCAAAAGCTAAATTTAGTGCCGCCCCACACGCTCTGTTTCAATCCCACAAGGAGAACAAAGAGCAAGCCCGCAAGAAAAAGAAGTCGCTTATTGTTTCCCTTGTACG